GTGAATTGTAGTGTAGATAGCAATACTTACTTGGATACCTGGATGTGCTGTCATCACTGTTTGTGCGGGCCCCAGCATAGTTTCCATTCACCGAAGTTTTGATGGTTTAGCCATTGTGGTTCCCTGGAATCCCGAGAACAGCTTGGCCAAAGTCTACCCCAGGTCGCCACCACCACAGGCAGTCACAGCTCTTGTGGACCAGAGGGGGATTTGTCGCCATGCGACTAGTTTGATACCAGGACGGTAGTGGATCCTGGTATTGGTTTGCTCTTAGCTGGATTTCCAGATGGAAACGCGGGACTCTTGAATAGTTTGGGAGACCCTGCTGGGTGATGAATCACTCTGCTGTACATCGCAGCCCGACACTCAGGAACACCTCTCATCCACAAAGATGAGGAGGAGGTAGGTAGCAGCAAAGATAGCAAACTTTTCTGGAACTTTCGAAATATCATCCATGTCCACTGATGTGTTACAAGTTTTATGTTGTGATTCCTTTGTTATAATCACAATCTTAACTCTTTTATTTACTGCCTTTTTCTTCTTAATGGCAGGTTATGTTTCGAATTATAACTCGTATGAAATGCTGAGATATTTGCAAAACTCCGGACCACAGGTGTATGCAGTGGGGAACGAACACGCGCTGTTGTCCTTACCGGGGAGCAGCGCACTTCACCACTACACCGACCCGGATGGTTCCCCACTGCATACACCTGTGGTCCGGTGTTTTGCAAATATCTCAGCATTTCATACGAGTTATAATTCCTTTGTTAATTTGTTGGAGTTCAGAGTTCCACTGTCATTTACTTACAGGTCGTCGTTGGAAAACTGTGATGGTTCCAATAATAACCGTTATCTGCCCAACGGTGACTCTGTCCAGCTAGAAGGGAGAAATCCGTATTATGGGAAGCTAATAAGTTCGGCTTGTCTTTTTTTGTGCCGTAATAGGACGTTGTTCATGGTTTAAACTGCGGGCGATTTTAGGTATGGATGCCGACTCAACACCCTATCCTGAAGATCTGATTATGATTGGGAACACCGTGGACATTCACGAGGTTAGCAATCGGTTATCTCGTTGAAGTCCTACTACTATCCGCTTCTACCTTGAGCAGACGACAGCAAGCGAAAAAGTCTATTTTTGGCGTTGCTTACGAAACTTATGTTGCTTTTCCTATATTCCAGTTCTCAGTTTCGAATCTGACTTACACTTTACACTGCAGTCATTTGTTTCATATGCTTCTTTAATCTCTTTGTTTTCGCCATCTTCATAATTGGGACGACACCTTTCAGGATTCCAAGCCTCTTCTTCTGGAAGAAGAGCACACTTTATCTGAGAACAACGAGCAAACATCAAGGAATTGCGAAAGTATGAATCCAACTTCACAATGTGGCAAAACTATCGTGGTATGGCATAGTAATTGTTTTTGTTCTCCAATAAAATGACTGGAATATCTTGAAGGTAATGCCCGAAGACATCGAAGCTGCAGGATTGAGCTTGCAGAACTTGGGCGATTTAACAGAAGCACAATTTACTACGTTAGTCGATATTGTAGAGCGACGAGAAAGAAGTGTGGGATCTGCTGAGTCATCTGATTTAATACATCGAGAACAGTACGGTACGGTAGAGGTCCTTATATTGCTAGGGATCTAGTCTCTTTTTTAGTGTTAAACCCAAAGCTTATCCTATTGTTATCACTGGGATATTTATTTTTTTATTTTTTTAGTATGACCCATCTTCACTTCTACTATGCGTGTTCCAGCACTGCTCACATTTGATTCGTTTCCTCGCACTCATCATCCAAGAAGATCTTCCAACTTTTACGTGTGGCTTCGGCTACTGCTTGGGAATTTTCATCTCGTCATGAATGCCGATGATTGCTGATCGAATCGATTCTCACTGGAGTCCTGAGATATTCGGACAAGAGCGTTTCCAATTGGATTACAAAGAATGCTTTTTCTCGGACAAGTCTGGTACCAAATTCCCGACCCTGGAGGGATGAGAGGCTTGGTGGGCTGGAGCGCAATCGAGCTGGCACCATACTCGTGAAGACCGACATCATTACCACTGTGCTGTGCTCCCTCGAAATATTTAGTTATAATTTTAATTTATTATTTACTGCCTACTATTTTTGATAGCAAGGTATATTGCGAAATATAACTTCAGCGATGCTGAGATATTTGCAAAACTGCGGACCGCAGGTGTCTGCGGTGGTGAACGAACGCGCTATTGTCGTTTCCGGGGAGTAACGCGTTCACCACCACACCGGAGTTTTCTCAACACCATTGAAGTTATTTAATTATAAATATAATACTTGTGATTATGTGAACGGATTCGACCTTTAACCAAATCGTTCTATCAGATGAAGAGTATAGCTTCTAGACGACCAAATGGCCAGCTCATCTTCTAGTGGAGATTCACTCACCATTGTAATAACAGATGATGGAAGTCTAAGGCTTACGGATGCCACTGGGCATACGTTCTCGGTAAGTTTTGCTTTGTTTATTTTTCACTTGTATAAGTTAACTGTTTACTTTCCTTGGAAGGTAATTTGGTGAATTAAGAATGCCTTGGAAGTTCAGTACTTATTTCCCATCTGCTCTTCGGTTCTTATGCATTTCGGCTCACTAAATCCATGTTCACTGCTTTATCAAGTAAAAGAACTAAGAGCAAACATACTGACGGACTCCTATAATGTCAGTTTCATTAGATTTGTTCACATCAATTACTGTGTTTCATTTAAATTTCTGGACATTTGAGGTTTTCTAATAGGTTTTGGACTTTTGTTGACTTGGTAGGCTTAAAAGAAAATAGTTAACTGTGGTTCGATGTGGCTGAAGTTAGTTCTGGATGTCGGACTGTGACGTACAGCAAGGTCCACCACGTTTTCGACATTATGGTTACCTTTTCGTTACAATAAGGTGGAAAATCATAGAGGAGGCCTTTGTAGGTGTGATTTTAGTGTGCTTCCATGGTAGGCAGTGCCACTTATTAAACAGCTAGAGTCCATCAATGTGTTCCACGAAATGTACCTTGTTTCGATGTTCCATGTTAATGCTCCTTTTTTTGAAATTAACCGTTTGGAAAATTCATGCATACCTATGGAGCTATAGACCAAAGGTTATTAAATAAATCTCTAATGACACTGAGATATTTGCAAAACTCCGGACCGTAGGTTTCTGCAGTGGAGAACGACCGTGCTATCAACCCTTTCCGCGTGCTAACGCGTTCACCAGCGTGCCATGCGTGTCCTTTGTTTCGCCTTTCTCTCAGCTTGTTTTCTATCTACCACTACTATCAGCAATCATCCGTCAAAGGGATTGATGTGGGGTGCCTATATCGTTAATGAACCCAGTTAAGCTGAGGCTTTGGTCGAAATCGAAATCTCTAATGTTCTCATCTCCTCAGTTTGACAAGGGATGTATTTCATTCGCTGTGTTGAATCATGGTTGCCGTATGGATAAGGGAAGACGTGAAAAATACTGACATGGTCAACTGCCAAGTGCTGATATCACAGTGGTTGTTTGGTGGGAGAGTGGAAGAACGTTCTCCTCACACACCCGAATTCTATGTGTTGGATTTAGGTGTCGGACGTTCTATTGAGAATGTTTTCAGTTTGATGGTGCTCAGTTAGATGCGCTTCGAATTGATATAAATAATTTAACGGACGAGAATATTCAGCAGATTGTTCAACTGGCAATGCCTGCAATTAGAATGTGAGTTTTGTTTGCCGCTTTTATTATAAAACAGGAAATGAGATAGGGGCCATGAGTAGGAAATGGACTGTACCTGTTTCTACACTGTTAGCCAAAGCCCATTTATAGAATGACACGAATGGTTCCCGTTAGACTTCATCCATCTCTGTTGGTTCTGTAATATCCTTTTTTGGGAAATACTAAAACAATCGTAGTTTTCATCCAAAGCGCTTCGCTTTCTCTTATCTTTGCCTAGGTGGTACCCACGGCTAGCTCATTGTCTCCGGGAACCTGAGCGTATATCAGACCTTTTTCTTGCAGACAAGTTCGAACTATCACCTCTAATAAATTTTCTAGTTATTTGGTTGCATGCTTTTAACGGAGTCCGTATGCCTAAAGTATCGCCATACTCGCCAGCTTGTCCACGACGACTTGAGTGTGACTACATGAAAACGAATAGTATAAGTCAACCGGCATCGCAGGAAGCCTATCACCTGAGCCATATTTGTTTGTGAGCAAATGCATGGTTACCATTGGTTCACTCTGTGCCTCACCATCCTTATACATTATGTAGCTTCGCGAGCAAGGATCCCTAATCTGAAATTTCTCTTTTTTGTTATAATTTCTACTGTTTAGCGGAAATGGGAATTTCGCTAAATCAAAAGCAGAGATAGAGCGCCGTCGACATGATCAGGCCTTGGTAAGTATACGAATCTTTTTTTTCTCATGTGTAACTAGTAAAAACTTTCTTTCAAAATCCTTTCGCTGTACTCGTGTTCCCTATTATTATCAGAAGTAATACATTTGCTGTGTTCATGATAAGGCTGACTTATTGAAAAGCTACCCGGTTTTTATTGTTTCTTTGGAACATTCGTAGGTGCGTCAAATATGCCCGAGTTTCTCATTATCTCATGGAGAAGTTTTCTGTTTGTATCACTCTTAAGGAGGGGCGCGTGTGGCGCGGTGGTCAGAGGCGCCATGCAATACACATGGGATTGATCCCAGCGCCCCAGGCTCACCAATCCTTCCATCCCTCTGGAGTCAGCAAATTGGTACCAAAATTGTCTGGGTGATGGCAGCACTGGATCGATACATCGGTAGGCCACCGTGAGTCATTGTGAAGACGAGATATGCATTCAGTCACCTTCAACGATGTTTAATGAAGTCGAATGCATGGCCCATCCTTCAGGAATTCACCAGCGCCGAGAGCTTTTTTAGCTTTTACCGCTCTTACTGGCTGATATTCTATACTTCCTTCTTCCATTCTTTTGCATAAGTGATAAATCGTCAAGTAGGTGATTTGTTTACTATATATCATTCAAAATTTTCTCTGTTTCTCGTTTCAGAGCAATGACACCGGTTCACAGCCCTTCATATTCAAAAACGGTTGAGTTTGAGAGGTTTCCACATTTATATTCCTTTTTAGAATACAAATCGTTCTTTAACATTTGTGTCGGTTCCGTTCAGATATTATAAATACCTCTCAAGCTGCCGGAGAACGATTACAGATGCGGCAATCTGATCGAAGTAGCTCGCGAAATCCATCAATTCGTTATATAAAAAATGGAAAGTGCAAGGTAATTAGAGTTATTTTGAACTTTTTGAGCATTTGAATTCTCTTTTAGTAAAATCAGTGGTCCTTTTTATGATTCGCTTGTATACATTCCATAGAAGAGGCCATGCTCAGCATAAACTGTCGAAGCTCTTTCATTTTCGTAGTCCCTAGCAATAGGACTGTCTAAAATAGCGTTTATAATAGTCTTAACATTTTATTTTGCTGCCTACTACTATTTTTCACGACAGGGTATCATGTGAAATACAACCAAGATGATGCTGAGATATTTGCAAAACTCCGGACCTCAGTTGTCGGCGGTGTAGAACGAACGTGGCGTTCACCACCACACCATGCGGGTCCATCGCTTTGCCTTTTCCTCAGATAGTTTGCTATCTAGCATTGCTATCATCACTTACCCGTCAACGGGGTTGATCACAAATCGGCATTGAACCTAGTAAAGCTGAGACTGAAGTTGAAGTTCGAAGTTTTCCATAGTTATGGCAGATAAGTACGGAAGGTGTGCAAGATAATGTAAAATAACTCAGTGTTTCTGGAACTCTGAAAATCAGTTCAGTTACGTGGTCGTGGCAATGAATAGGCCAACAGTCAAACAATACAGCTCTTACCCAACGTACTTAATACTACAAGAGGTGTTTTTTCCTGCTTAGATCCTCTGCCTTCACCTTCACCAAGATTATCTCGTTAGGAAATAGTTAAAGATTTGGATTGGAATTTTGAATCATTAACTAGTTTTTGGTTGATTACGTTGTTGTTATTGTTGCTGATGCTGGTAATGTAAAGTTGTTACCAGATGATAAACTATTCTGTAGGTGCAGTATGAGGATGGTCGTTTCGAATGGGTTGGAGGCGACAATTTAGACTTGTGTGAAAACAAGGCTGTGGAACATTTCGACCACTCTGGGTAAGTAGCTTTAGCACGTGAAATATTGCTTTCCCAGCAACGGGTCATTTTTTTTTCTTGTTGAAACTCACAGATATCATGCTGGAAATCTACCACATGAGAATGAGAACACAACATCTCGTGGTAGCGTAACGCAAATAAAACGCCAACACTCAACCAATTCCTTTGGTGCTACTGCCAGCCCGCCAAAAAGGCGCAGTATTGAGCAAACTCCGAACTTTTGCTGTCCTGTATGTGATCGAAAGGTACGTTACTAGATGGGTTTTAAGTAACATAATGGCCATTTTTTAAGGGCAACATTGAAGTGCTATCAGCACTCAAGTGAAGCACTACTTTGCTAGTCAGAATAAGACTCACTACGGTCCATATGCTTGCCAGAGGAAACCGAAAAAAAATAGATAGAATAAATAAAAAATAACTGTTAACAGGAAGTCCGATGAAAACATTGAATGAAGGAAGGTTCCATACTGCAATTCATCCGGTTTTTGGAGCGCTCGTTATGCAACGTATGATTGGACGTTGTCGTGCAAAGAAACTGGACGCTTATTGACCACATTTGGATATACGTGCAACATTTTCCATAGCATTTCATCGGTTTTGTGGCATCGCTGCCAGTTGTGGTCGTTTTGACAAGAATGTAACTATGTTTAACATGATTCCCTTCTCCGGAAGCTTCTATGCAAATCATGTTTTGAAATAGGCTTAGTGCCTTCATTTGGTTTAATAATTGAACTAGACTTTATAAATTATTTTGAAAAATGGACATCATACTGCTAGACACAATGCGGACGGGAGATGGATCGATTTTTTGGTGTAAAAAAGCGCAGAGCAGACTCAAATAACATTTGGAGGTGTAGCTCCGCTTATTCGCTTCAGATGGTAGTCGATTGCTCATACGCTCACTCGCTCATCTTCGTCATAAAAATTCACATCTCTGATATAGAAGCTTCCGAAGTATCTGCGTGCCGAGCTTTCGGTAGCATTCCATGGCCAATGTTCCTGATTTAGAGTGCCTACCGTTGCTTCATGTATAAGTTTGGACTTGTGAGACAAAACGATACGATTTTCATGTTTGATATCATTGTAAATTATTTTTTAGAAAAAAACTATGTAGCAATATTTGTGAATCCAATGTAGGAAAAAAGGTGACATGACAAACAATCAAGCAAGAAATAAGTGATGTAGTGGAGTACAGTAACAATAGAAAAAGCATATATATATATATATATATATATATATGTAGCGGTCTCTTTTACAAATTCCATTACGCCAAAACAGGAATTATTTTCTTATTCTACTCATAGCTGATCCTTTGTGACTATGGTGAAATATTAGTTCTGAAATCTTTTAGGTTTATCAAAAGGAACCATCATATATCGTTATACGACTTCCTGCGTGTGATGACTGTACAAAGGAGAGAATGATAGTGTTAGATGAACGTACAAGAAGAGTAGATGATCCTTCTAAATAACAGTACCAGTAATTATATATTAATCTCTGAATATTTTTGTATTTTCTTCAGGAGTTTAAAATGCAGTTGTTAGGCATTGGGTTTGCTTATTGAAGAAAATCAGCAAGCGTTTGTAGCTTCTATGCAGCTGTTTGTGTGAGTATTTCTGTACTTTCTTATGGCAGCTTCTTCTTTATCACCACGGTATTCTCAAATATTTGGAGCTGTTGTGGGAAGATAAAGGGAAAGTGTGAGACAGTTCTCTCAAGTGAAAATACCAATTTTGAGTTCTTGCCTTTTCAGATATAAAGAATTTTATGGTTTGAGTAGTCGAGGAAAGTAATCGCGGTCTCGGAACCCATTAGGTTAGAGTTTGTATCATGAAGTGTAAACTGCTGTTCACTGTGGACATAATACGCTGCTGTATGGAATAAAATGGATTGGATGTGATTGTGCCATGTATTAAATGTGAGGAAGCGCTTCTAATTTTAAGGAAAGTCCACCATTAATTTGTAATTAATTGTTTTTTTGTCCATGAATTATGATAATTTACAACACCTTCTTGGATTGTTAAGTTAACACGAGTTCGGCTAACGTTACAACGTTTTCGCCTTCATCCAGTCAAACAATACAGCCCTTAGCCAACGTACTTAATACTACAAGATGTTCCACAGTTGCTATTCCTCTCGATGTGGCGTCTTCATCATCATATCGAGTCGGATCTTCCTCAGTGGAGCATCTCTCGAATAGATAAGCTCACCCGAAACAGTGCTCTTTTATACAAGATGGTTGTTGTTGATACGACGATACGTTGATAATAATTTGTTTTTGAACGGATAATTCGAACAAAATTGTGATCACTATGGAATTAATGGATTGATCAGTTACACAAAATGTGGATAGTTTACTTTTGGAAGACAGAATATTTCCACTATCCACTGATGCATTCTGATGCGCAAAAATGCAGGCGACGATACTTCAGTTTTAGGCGAATGTCAGAATACGCCATGGGAGCAGTAAGTTTTGGAAAATAGTCGAATATTGCCTACGACTGTCGTTTTCCATACTAGTAATGCCCTCTAGATAGCGAGTGCTGCCGATGACGGTTGTAGTAAGGCAAAGGTTATGTAAGAAAAAAATAGTGCGACAGTGTATACGAAGTGCAAGCAGTACTAGGTAGAATAGCAAATTAGCTCCGTGATATGTAGTCGTTCGAGTCTGTCGCTAACTAGACCTCTTTGTTGTTGCTACAGATCAAAGCTGAAACTTGGGTAATTGAGCCATTCGTAAAAATCACAATACAATAGCGACAATATGACAGTACAGAAATAATACGAGCTACAACTTAATAACGGAGATGAATAAGCGAGGGTAGGATGATGAATGAGAGCTTACTTTTGAGACAAAAGAGCAGCTCGGCTGTTGGCTGGTGGCCTAATGTGATACACAATTGATACTAAGCATAGAATGCAGTACTAATGGTGTATGAGGTTAACATATTAGAAGGCTTGTAATAGCTCTAACTTCTAACAATAGCGTAACGAGGTTGACATATTATAAGGCATGTATGAGATTGTAGTAGCTTTAACCTACAATAACACTGCGATGAGGTTAACATATGTATAACCACCGTAAGTGTTAACGTGGTCACCGTGAAAGTTGTCATGGGGAGATAGGAGTTGCACTAGCAATAACGAGGACTTGGCGGAGTCATAAAACATTGAGCATGGTAAATCACACATCATATAAGTACATCAACGGATATCGATGAATTCCGACGCTTCAGAATGATTAGACGAATTGGTGCAGCAACGGTGACCTTTGCAGAGTAGTTATAGAGAAAGGCGCAAGTGCTTGAGACATAACAAGGCATAGCGATTATATGAGGATTGACAATAATTTTAATATGTCGACGATGCAGGAATGTGAGGCTCGGCAGAATTCTAATCTGTGCAAACTGAAGGAGAGGTGAACAAATAAGATCAGGAGTAGGAACAAGGTGAAGTGGAAGAGTGCTAACGATCACTACGCATCGTTTGAAGTCAGGTGATATAGCTATGAGGCGTGACTAATCTCTAGTTAACGTTTATACGAAGGAATACAGATGTTCACCAACGGAGAAACTGCAGCCCTCTAAATCATTGGGACTTTTCAATGTCTAGGTGAAAGGATGCAAAGTTTCGCACAAAGTTAATTTGGTCGTGTAACGCGAAATGTGTGAAAACACCCGCAACTCACAGCTGCTCAGCCAATGCGCCAACGAACTGTTGAGCGACGTCAACAGTTCAACCAAGTACATGATATTATGGCTTATACAGAAAGTTTATGTGAATTTGAATGAGAGGTGGCAGACAACATCTCTTATTTTGTGGAAAATGTTCTCCAAAGGAAGTTCAGTGTTAAACAATTCTCGCCGATTTGAATTGCTTCGCCCTTCTCCCTAAGACACATTTCTGCACGAAGTAGCGGAATTAGTATATAAAATGCGATTTTTTATCAGTCACCAGGTGACAAATAGTCTGTACGGATACAATAGCTGTTATGGATATGAAGTACTGTAGAACAGATTGGTGGAGGCGGATACTACAGTGGTAGTGATGTCCGTCATCACGAGTATGCTTCTAGTTCGATTCCGCTTCTGGCCAACCAACCCTCTTATCACTACGAGGTCAGGAAATTGGTAACGGATTTGCCTGGGAAAAAATCAATTTCTGCAATCCAATTGAGAACGCTCCACCCAGGCTATCCCAGGAGTCCCGGGAGAATTGCTCGACCAACATTCTACGACATTCAAGATGAAATGGAAATCCACAAATAGCAACCGAAGCGACACGTAAAAGTTGGAAGATCGTTGTGGACAGTGGATGCTAGAAAATCAATTGAAGGTGAGAAGTGCTGGGATCCGCGCAGTAGACGTGAAGGCGGATCAAATAAAATGAAATGAAAAAAAAACAGTGGATGCTGCAGCGTACCTATGATCAACAATAATGTGTTGATCAAATGGTGCATACCTTCCAAAGAATTACGATACGGTACGTTTTGTTTCGCACTTCTAATGTATACGTGGAAATATACAGAGATTGTACACATCGAAAATGATTTATTCATATGTTCGTACAAAGCGATTTTATTGAGCTGATGCGAGGTTGCTATACTAGCCGTTGTTGTTGGTCGATGGCTGACGTTTCGGCGATTTCGCCTTCCTCAGAGCCGTGCTGTTACGAGTGGAACTGCCCACCAGTGGTGTACGAAAATTGTTTGGTTTATTGTTTTGCAATATTGCCTTGCAGTTCGCTATTTGCTAGCTAACATAATAAGGACTGGTGTGGGTTGGATTATCTATTTAAAACAACTTATTATCGGCGGGTAGTCATTATCAACCACAACCGTCCTGTGTAAAGGAGCGCTGCTGGACGAGGTTGCCTCATTCGAGCAGTCAAAAATAACCTTTCCACTGAAGATCGTACCGGTTGTATACAAACTGTATTATACCTAATGAAGCATTTCAAAGAATAACGTTCTCTAAACGACTGCCTCTACTAGTAATCTTTTTGCCACGTTCAGAAACCTACTTGCGATCATGTTGTTATGTAATAGCCTCGTAAGAACCCACACACTGTCTCTGTTTTTTCGAACACTTAATCACGCTTTCTCCAATGAAGTGAGAAGTCAATGGTATGTCAGTACTCCAGCGTCCACAAATGGACGTTCATCTTGAAGTCATGCAGCGGCGTTTCTGCAAGCGCCGCTTACATGTCCTCCATACTTTCACCAGTGACGACTGGATGATCAAGTGGAAGAGGAGCTATATGTACCTAAGGTACGGGTGAGAAGGATGTATCTGATCTTAAGAGAAAGTAATATGCAGACCACTTGCTAGTCCTAGCAAATTAAAACTATAGTCTCAGTTCAATTCTGTCCGCTAAAAGCATTTTTTAGTGGTGGATTTTAATCATCTTCGGTTTGGTTGAGTTAGAAGAAGAGTCGTTATATGACTTCTGGACAGCATAATAATGACTTATTCGATTATCTCTTATATTATCTCTTACCGTTCCACTTAAAAATCGTTACACCGCTCTGATTTTATTGAGCTGCCGACTGTGCAATATTTAGCTTCGCGCGGGCGACTGGTTTGGAAGTTCTTTCCTGTTTTCCCTATAACTGTTAGTAAGATGGGTACCTGCCCTCCATAACGCCTTAGAGAAAGAAAGGCTCGTGTAGGATGGGTGTAAGAAGGCGGAAGATGACACTACCTCGGAATAGCACGATGGATTCGCCAATACATACATGCCTTCCAGCTCTCTATATCGGGCTGAAGCTCCTTTTGATAATGTAGATAGCGATCTAATTCTATATCAACTGTGCTGGCTGTATCGATTTGCATTGTCTGGAAAGCGAAAGCTTGCCAATGGACTTTCACTTTTTTTTCTTCGTCATAGCAGAGTTGGCACTAGGATGACCTGCATAAGCGAGATTCGCATCACAGTAACCTCTCAAATGTCGCAGTTAAACAATGCTATCTTAAGGCAGAAACAGAAGAATCTTCTTATTTCGTCAACACATAGCTGGATTTAGCAGTATTAACAACGGGAATTAACAATCAGATCTTTATGGTCGATGCTACACGCCAATACAACGAACTCAATGGATGACGGTTGCAAAGGAATGAGAGCAGAAGTGCTGGGACTTGCGCGAGATGTGATGGTTGGTGATCTAAGGACCTTAGTGAGCAACATCATGAATACGAGCTTCATTTCGTGATCGATTTCACAAAATAGCCGATTGAGAACCAATGAGGTGTGTCAAAAACGTTCGTATTTCCTATAGATCATCATATAGAAGGTTTACAGTCCTTAGGAGAGTATTTTACCATTCTTATCCTTTAGGTATTGTCAGTTTCTTTTGAGGAGCCATTTTTTCCTCGTTTTTCACATTTATGACATAAGAGTGGCGCGTATGGCGCAGTGTTCGGAGGCGTCCTGCATTATACATGCGACTGATCGCCGCGTCCCAAATTCACC